ATTTTCGCTTGGATTTTTTCTAGCGCAACTAGAAAACATCATACTAAAGGAAATGATAAACGAACGTCACTGTATTTCACATATGTTGATTATACCTTCATCATATATGTTAATAGAGACCAATCGGATCTATTATTTAGATTTTTCCATGCGACTTAATCAAATTTAAAGTAAATTACAAAGAGGAATGAGTTTTGTACATTTATCGATAACAAAAATGGACGACGGTTGGATCTCATGTTCCGTAATAAATCTGGTTACCTTCAACTTGATCTATTTATTTACCTGTTTATGCACCGACAATTACTTTCGAAGAACAGCGAACATGTGTGAAAGAATCCCTGAACATTTACCTAGGAACTAGGTGTTCGATTGCCAGGGAAGTCCTACTCACTGCCTTCTCGTGGCGGGGGTGTTGTTTACGAAATTGAGAGGACGAAAAGCGAATGTCCGGCGCTTTAGCCGGATTCCAAACCAATGGTGCACATGAGCTCCAGCATCCTGCGGGAACACATGACGTATGAACCAATCGTTGGTCACCGGCTACCATGGGACTGCATCTCCTCACGATGCTCCACTGCCTTGTGGGTCAGACCTTTAGGCCAATAGCTCGGGGTGTGGCCCCCTAAGAAAACCACCTGCTCCGGTCCGGGCACCCGGGCAGTATTACAGCCCTCACACAAATCGAATAATTTATGTGGCGCATATGTATTTGGTGCCTTCTTGTACCAATGTTTATGTGTTTAAATAATAAAATAATAATAATAATTCGATTGCCACAAACTACTCGACAATGCCATGGGAAGAAATATTATACATTTTATTTCTTTTCCAGTGGTAAACAGAATAAGAACAAATTTCTACGTTCTGCTGAAGTAGTTGCTATTTCAACCCCAACTTATACGTTAAAAAAAAAATATGTTTAATTTGGGACTGCCCTGGTAATCAACTCACTACCCTTTCTTTTTTATTCTCTCGGTTATATTGATTTGACCTCATCTATATTTAACCATAATAATACTTTTATTATTTATTTTAGTCAAATTTTTGTTTTTAACTTGTTATTGTCACCGGTCTTATTATTTGAAGACAATTCAATAAAATGTTTGACCTTTTTTAAACATCTAACCACTCCTGTTCTCGTCTATCTTCTGCAAATATTATTTCCATCATTAGTATTATTATTATCATCACTATGATGATCATTTCACAATCCTTTTCCGGTTATTACTATCAGTTTCGTCATTTTTATCTACAGAAATCATAACAGTTTATGTATGCTTTTGCACTTGATTACGTCATAGTCCCCCACTCAATATGTTCATGAGTACAGAAATTATATAAAGTCACTGTTCACGAATGTACCAGATGACTTTATATATGCTACATACTGAAGTATATTTGTGAAAACATTTTATTGAATTCTATGATTCAACGCACACGGGGAAAATATAAAGCACAAGAAATAGAATGTTTATTGTTCTTGATTTACGTACGTTAATCCAAACTTTCATAAGTATATGAATTTATAAGAATCATAATGGATAGCAGTTATTGGTAATCTAAAAAAATCTGCGTGACAGGTCATATCTTTGTGTTACTTAGAATCGGAAACACCCATTTACTGGATTACAATCTCATTGCTCATATACCAAATGTTTGTTGTGAAAAACTTTTGTTATGATTTTCTCCATATTAAAGGTGTACATTTTTGAAATACCAAAATACAGAAGAATATCAAAATCTCAGTGGTATTTCTAATAACATCCTTAATGAAATAAACAATTAGGTAAATAATTATTTCAAACCATTAAGCTGGTTAGTAGTCTAGATAAACGTAGTGAAACTCAACAGTTAGTATTTTTCTCAATCACTAGTAAACATTCTCAGATTCATAAATAATTTATCACTTCATTTAAGTGATGTAATTAGAACTCAGAGAAATGAAGTGTGCTTTTCTCTCTCGAAAATATCGAATGATTTATATTAGTAAGTTAATGGATTATACATTGATTTTCATTAGAGTATATATATAAAACATTGACAACAGGAACTTTCAAACCTTTACAAATTAAATACAACCCATATCCGTTGTACAAGCACATGACTATCTGAACTCAGTAGCTATGTGAATAACACGTTAAGGCTTTGAAGTAAAAAGTAATGAGTTCGAGTCTCTATGTAAACATCAACACTGTGGTACAGGAAGATATAAGTGACGGGTTCCAAATATGACGAAACTTGCTTATTAAATCCCACTACTTTCCATAATTCATCTCAATTTAAAAATGTTGGTGAATAGATGGAAATAACGATGCGACCCACTCAGGATGCACAATATGAAAAGTGACTAACCGATTCCAGTTCTTAAGATCAACAGCGATAAGATTTAAACCTTTCTAAATAAAACCAAATGATGTATATTTTCAGTGTGTTTTGGCCTTATTCTCGTTTTGATTATTTTGTGCTTTGTTTTAAAGCTGTAATCAGTTATTATTATCTTCGATGATTATTATGAAATTTACTTCCTTCATGTTTTTTTTTTCTATTATCTGTTAATTGGGCGCTTATATCTCACATTTCTTATTCATAAATTATTCTCCTATTCTTCTATAACCTCTCGATTAATATGTGACCTCGTTTTAATATTTAACACTTCGGGTTACCTTATTATGTAATCTCTTTTTATCCTCCTATAGACTGATATATTGATCAAATAACTATAAATACGAATGTATAGTTTAAGTAAAAGATTCTATTCAACAACATAATGGGTTATTTTAATTAGTTAACATATATATAATGAATTTTAAATGTGTACTTGAAATTCAGATTTAATATCAACTTGGTGAAGCTCAAATTTACAGATTAGTTTTTTACTTTATTTGTTAATCAATCGATAGAATAAAATTCATTTAAGAAATTAAAATTAATTAGGATACTTACAGTATATCAATTGCTTAGATGAAAACTAATAACAGATAAATGTAAATCAGAGAAGAGTTTTTGTGGATATTAGTATAGGGTTGTGGAGATTATTCAGTTTTTAATTAACATCATGAACTGATTAATGTTAGACCACCTTTGAAAACCGTTGGATGACGGTTCAGTGGTTTAGAGGTTAAGATCCAGGTTTTCAATGGTGGTCTAACATTAATCAGTTCATGATCTCAATAAAAAACTTAATCTCTACAACCCTATACTGATAATTATTATGTACTCACCAGTGACTAGCTTGGTGTGAGAAGTTTCTGAGTTATAGTGGAAAGCCGTGACCAGTGGAGCTAATCTGTGTCAGATAGAGACAGGTATCTACCTCAGTACAATGGAAGATGGTCACGCAATTTCATGTATTGGTCGAGGTTAAACATTAACACCGTTAGATGCCAGCTCAGTGGTCTAAAGGTTAAATGTTCGTGAGCGGGACTGAACGCCCTGGGTTCGAATCTTGCGAGCGGGATCATGGATGCGCACTGTTGAGGAGTCCCCTAATAGGACGAAACGGCCGTCTAGAGCTCCCAGGTTCTCAATGATGGTCTAAAATCAACTGATTCATGATATCAATCAAAAGATATTATAGTAATTTAGTAGTTGGATTAGTGAGTCAATTGAAGCTATACCTCCATGGAAAACCTGGAAGCACTGGACGGTTGTTTCGAGTGGGACTATGATTCATAGAAGACTTTTGGGCGACGATGAAGTGACCTTGTGTCCACCTAATAACTAGGACCAAATGGGGATTATAAACCAGTGTGAGGAAATAGAATTATGATTTACAGTTGAACGTTAAGGTTAGGAATCAGATTGACGGTTTTCATCACGAACTAACATCAGCTATAATGCCAAAACGTTATTTAGACAAATGTATGAATGAATTTCGGGCTAAAATCAACGTTCTGTTATCTGATTGCGTCGTCTATAAATTACAGTCTCGCCAAAATATGTTTTTTCTTTCTATTGAGCAAAATTTATTTTTGTAATCATAATGGTTCACATTTCATAAATAATTATTTGCCCTGTTATAATTTAAACGTTGAATTTTCTTTTCACAAACAGCCTAGACAATGTTATTGTATAGAAAACATGGTAACATTTACTGAAGAATAATGAAACAATCTATTCTATGCAAGTATTATCCAATTAATTTGCTGTAACAAAATTGTTTCATATTAGATTTATGATTATTTAAGTGAGTTATTGTTTTATTGTTTGTTGAAAACAAATCTCTAGATACTAGAATTTTGTGAAATAGTATAAAATGATTGGATAGAAAATCAAAGATGTATAGTATTACATACACATACATATATATGAGTATATGTTGATGGAGATATTATTATTATTTTACAGGTATCAAAACCAAGTTTGGACTCAATGAGTGGGAAAATTGTATCTCTAACGTCTTGTGACATAATATAAACTACTTCTCCAGAGTAAATATTTATTATTTATTGACTCTGAAGAAGTGGCTTACATTAAGTCACGAAATTCCAAAATACGATTTTTCTACTCATTGCGATATAACAGTCAGTCAGTAACAACGTAGAACTTTGTACGCACGTACATCAGTTCAAGTTGCCACACCACATTAGCACACAGATGCAGTTGTCGATTTAAATCCCATCGTGGTAGAGGTAGTAAGAGTATAATCAGTAATCGGAAGCATTAGGGCTTGAAGATGTTATTCAAAGAGTATAATCCAGTGAAATAAATTTGGAAAGAGGAAAAAGGGACACAAAGAATTCAGAAGATTAGAATTTGGTAGAACACAAAAAGTGGGTGAACTTGCACCACTGCAAACAATTTTGAGCCATGTCATTCAAGGTCTCTAACTGTCGGTTGCTATCATCTCGCAGATCCCAACCAGGTAGTCTACACCTACACCTACCAGTGACTTCATGGACTTGTGCCATGGTTTGGTCTGGCCGCCTCTCGCTTTCTTTCAATCTACTCCTACACCATAAAACATCGCACTTCGGGGCAGTCTGTGGTTGGGCATACGTAACATGTGTTATCATTGTTTTTAAAGCATTTAAACTATCGGGATTGCCAATGATTACTTAGAAATTTATTCGAATAAAACAAGAAAATACAATACTAAGTGATATGAGTGTGTATGAGACGGTATATGTTTTCACAAAGATGTCATTTTAATGAAAACGAAAAAAATTGGAGAACTTTCCAAGTCAAGATTTTTTCCAACTGTTTTCAATAAGTTAAAATAATTTATTCACATTGTCGAGTCTCAGTTTCAAAAAGGAGCAATCAAATTGTAGAATGAAAGGGTAATTGTTTACATTTCTGAAAAAAAATTATATGTTTAAGTCAAAGTACTATGAAAGTGATTTGTAGTACATTCAATTAGATGATTAACATTCGTAAAATACTATTTAGTGATAAATAAGTCATACTACCCCAGTACTATTTGATTTGCATTATTTATCTCCCATAAAAAATAACTCGCTAATAATTGAAAAGAAGTTAAGTTTGGAATTTACATTTGTAAACATCTCAGCGCTTGAACCCTTAGTTAATTCAACTTTTTGCTCGGCAATCTTGTCCAAGCTTTTTCAACGTAATATAATACATGGTTTACTGACTAACTTTACACCAAACAATTCGTTCAATTATATTAACAATCTTCAAAGTAAGATTTGTATTAATGTGTATAAGTGGAGAAATTATGATAAGATAACAGTTGTATATACGTGTACACATATATCTGATGAGAGAGAAATTCATCGGTCATATATCGCCTGTGATTAGGAATTTTGTTGGATGGAGAATGTTGGTGAGCGGCCTATGCTCCTTCACGGGGAGTAACAGGCGTAAGTAAGTAAGTAAGATTAGGAATTTGATGAAAATAGACAATTTGTTGCTGTATGCATAAAACGACGATAAATAAACAGACGTTTTTGTTTTTTGTGTTGACGAAACTGATTATTTATCACTTAGTCAGGGAAACTAACTGGTTAGAACAAGTGACAGTAATCATTGTTGTTCACATAATAAGAGATAAGTTAAATGAAGGAAAATGTATTTATTAGTTGCTACGACATATTTAATTGTATTCCATCTCTTCTATTAATATTATTTGAATTCGTCCATGTGTGCAGCGCTTCAGCTATTGATCTCTGTTTGTATGAAACTAAATTATTTACAAGGATTATGTTTCATTGCAAAAGCTTAGGTCAGATTGCCAAACGAAAAGTTAGATTTGCTTAAAGTTCAATGGCTTAGATTTTTAGAAATATAATTTTCTTCCATAATGTCTTACATCATTCAGAACCTAACTTCTGTTGAATGTTTCTTTAAAATTTTGACGAAAATTCTTCTAAACTGTAATAAAAGCTATCGGGACCATTATGATGCATAAAACTGTTCTGCCTAGTTACACATCATACAAAGTATGATATAATAAAAATACAAATCAAACTTTATAACAATAATAATATATTAAACAGAATAACATAACAAAAATTACCTACCGATGTTAGATACTGTATTCAACAAAGTCATATATGTTCCACCAACAGCTGGATCACTAATTTTAGCATGAAATGCTACCTGTACAACCATCATTATGCTTGATATAATTGAGTAAACAAATAATTTACTTAATAAAAGTATATAGAATAACCAAGTAAATGAATATGCCATATCTTTAACTGTATTTGCTGTGTAGTTTTCTGTTGAATTAGTTGTATCAGTGATATTATTTAAATCACTTCTGTTTAGCTGAATAAATTGAATTTGAGTTTGATTAGGCTGAATAATTCTAAAGTATGGTGTATAATAAACAATAGGAATCGTTAACGAGGTCACCAATAATCTGAAAGTAAATAGTAAGAGAAAAAACATTATAATTAATGTAATTTTTATTTTGATCTCATTTTTCAAGTCATAAGAGTAAATTAATGGTGTAGGGGGGGGTTGTGGAGGCTGTAGAATTCAGCAGTTGGAAACCTTGAGGGAAAGTGAACGGTCATTTCGTCCCAGCATGGGACTCATTAGATGTGCGCATTTTACTATTCAGTCGCATGAGGTTGAACTCAGTACCTTCGGTTTCGCACAGAAACGTTTAATCTCTAGATTAATGGACCACTATCCACTGGTGTATATGTTTAATTTCAAACAACTCTCAATATTAGGCAATCCTCATCCATTGCCTGCACTATCACACACCGGACGTGCTCTTGATTCCCGGATGAGGTTTACGGATGAACAGTTCCGAGGAACCGCACACTAGAACGAAATGGCCGTCTAATGCTTCCGGTTTCTCAATGGTGCTCTAGATAAAGTTTATGATTAAAACTATGGAAACAGTTTAATGTTTCGTTGTTCTTCAGATTTAAGTGCAAATCAGCTTCAATATCGTGGTGATGAAAAGAGAAAAAATTTACTTGTTTAAGTGGTAGAATTAACTTTCAGAATCTTCAAGACCATATGTGCATATATAGTACACAACAGTTGATAATATATATTTGAATTATCTGCCTAAAAACTCCATCTGGAGCCCCTCTTGGGCTACTGCTGTTCCTAAGCCCGAATAGAGGAAATGAGTTGGGCATGGGGTTAGCGACCCCATCCCGTAGAAAACTAACTCGCTAAAAAACGCTAACCAGAAAAAATAATTCAAACCATTTAAACTCTGCTCTGGGAGTTAGAATGTCTTCATTTAAAAGAATTATTTCGTCTCAAGGTGAAAGCCAAGTTCCTTCGGAAATCATGAGGTTGATGCCACTTCTGACAACCAGAGCAACCATTAATTTAGGTACATGGAATGCTCGTACAATATGGGAGACCGGGATAGTCTTCCAAATTGTTGCAGAAACGAAGAGATACAACCTGAAAGTGATTGAAACCAGTGAAACAAATTGGACGCATGTTGGACAACAACGACTATTTTCAAAGGAACGTCTTTTGGAACTTCGGATCCGTTGGCCAACAACAACCAACTGTGGAGGTGAACAAACCAGATCCCAGCGAAAGAAGAGATCACGAAGAAGCGCATCGAGGAAAGCACCCAACTGCGTCACAAGGCAAGCCCTCACATGGAATCCTCAAGGCCAAAAGATGAGAGGAAGATCAAAGAGCACATTAAGCCGAGAAATGGAGACAGACATGAAAAGTATGGACAGAAATCGAATAGAACTAGAAAGGAAGGCCCAGGAAAGAGTGGGTTGGGGAATGCTGGTCGGCGGCCTATGCTCCATCGGGAGTAACAGAAGTAAGTAAGTAATGTGGCTGAAAGTCGGTAAATAACATGAGCTCAAATGCTAAAATAGACGACAAGAGTAAAGAATCAATAAGTCATTGAACAGTACTTATAAAGATTCACTCTTTTGAAATATTTTTATTTCTCAAGCATGAAGCGACTTTTGACTTATGATATTCGAATCCTTGTTCAGAAGGTAAGGATAATTGTTCAGAATCCATTGAATCAACACAAAGTGACTTGTTGAAAGCCAAACAATAATGAGTGCACTCTCAGAATCTATAGCTATCTATAAGTTTGCTATTTTGAAAAGTCTAATCTATATACACTTCAATATTTATGGTCGCAAAATGAAAATCCATAGACTTTCATTTCAAACACCTAATACGTTATTCACTTAGCTATCTAGTTCAGATAACCACGGGGTTTATGTAATATTGAATTTCAATATGAGAGCTTCAAATCTCAATTAAATTCATCGAGAATTATAAGTTTATTGTTTAAAGGTCTGTGTATATGATAATTAAAGCTATCATGTATAGTTATAGCTTCTTTTTCATTCAACAAGTGAATGATTAAAGATGATAATGAAGGTTACAAAGTGATCAGTAGTTATTCACTTCTGTCAGTTGTAACACATACTCTTTGCTAAATAAAACTTAAAAGTTATGAATGTTTATCAAAACAATACTAGATTAACGACAAATAGTCAAAATGTTAAAAAGGATATATTCTGTTTAAGCATTCATAAATAGATAAATAGTTGTAGTTTTAACTACCACCTAATTAATTCAGGAAAATTATAAATGAATGGATGTATATCTAAGTAACTATTCTATCTTATTATGCTCCAGTAAATTTATTCCCTAAGATTGAACATAAACAAAATAATTATTTCAGTGTGTATATAATGAATTATGTAAGTATAAACAGATTCCATATTTAGACCTCATTAGTTAACAAACCAATATTCCATTGAGTTTAAATATGCAATTTATCAAAAATCAAACAAATATATTCACCTTGGTAAGAATGCAATTATGAATACTCCTAATGGTCTTGGCCCATTAGTCCAACGTGTAATTAATAATGGTAATATAGCTTGTATTGGCATTAACAGAACACCAAAAAGTGCTAAACGTTCTTTTGGAAATCCATGTTCAATTAGTTTTAAACTGAAAATTGTTTCTGGAGCAGCAAGACAAACCTTATTTAAAACAGAATAATAGAGAAAAAGATGAAGGAATATAATTCAGATTAGAAATATGAAAACTAATGAATGTTATTTATTTAACGAGTATAGTAAAGCGTCACAATTATGGAGACCTATACCTTTCATTGTTGTTATAAACATCAAATCTCAATAGAGTCCAACTTCAAAATACCCATAAGTTTATGAACAACATCTACGAGGTCACATTTACAAGAGAAAAAGAGTTAACGAACAAAGTCCTATCCTAGGGTATTTTAATCAGCAAAGCAAACACAGGAACGTTGGAGAAAGATAAAAGCTAAGAACCAGGCTACACAAACCGAACATTAAATTATATTAGTAACAACCCAACATTGAATAAAAGGAATTGTGTACAAAACTGTTCAGACGAACCAAAACTCACTACAGAAACTTCACTGTACAAAAATGGAAAAAAACCGATTTCCTATTCACACTCATTAAGAGTGGCTGTCCTGTCTGACAAGTCAATATATCAGCACAAAATCATCCCTAAGGACCAGAGGAAAGCCATCTTATCATGAGTGGCAAACGTTTAGGAAATCACACGAGGTTATTAAGTTAACGTCTCTTACTGGAATTGTGATACGTGAAATTATGAAAATGATTTGAATAGGATCATGATCAGAAAGAATGTATTCAAATAAGTTAATAATATATATTAAATTCAAATAATACAACTGAGAACATATGCCTTTAAAAAGTATTTTATTAATATGCAAAGCAATAAGTTTCTATCGATATACTGAAATCGTTAACAGTAGGATAAACATTACAATTTTTTTATTTAGATTGATATCATGAATGAATAAATGTTAGACCACTATTGAAAACCTGAAAGCACCGGACCACCGTTTCGTCCTAAAATGGGACTACTCAACAGTGCGCATCTATGGTCCGGCACGAAAAAGGCTCGAGCCCAGGACCTTCGATCTCGTGCGCGAACACTTAAACTCTAGACCACTGAGCCAGCATCCAACAATGTTAATGTCTAACTTCCACTAATCCACGATATTGCGCGACCGTCCATCACTGTCTTCAGTGAATAACTGACTTACACTCGACACAATTAAACTTCATTGGTCACCACACACGAGACCGAAAGTCCTGTATTCGAATCCCATATGTAAGATTGTAGATACTCACTGTTGAGGAATCCCATACTTGGATGAAACAATCATCCAATGCAAGTGTCAATACCAAGGTTTGATTTGATGATTTAGAATAAATTGAGCATTCGGTTGATTGTTATAAATAAAAATATATATTTGTAATATCCCAATGACTAGAAAATTAGATTTTATGACGTTTCGTGACTTAGTGTAAGTCACTTCTTCAGAGAATAAATAACCAAATTAAAACTAATCCAAGTTTAAATAGTACAACGGAACAAAGCAAGAATAATATTGGATCAATCAAAAACAGGTCTGAACAAGTTGACGTCTTGTCATTTCTGTCATGGTGATTCATAAGTGATATGTATGTAAATTTGTGTGTATGTATGTGTGCATTGTTTAAGAATGAAAACTTGTGTGACCTTTATGGTAAGAAAGGATAGAGTTTAAATTTGTAATATGCTTCTGGGTTTTCAATGGTGGACTAACATTGATCCATTCATGGTACCAATATAAACTCAACAATCTCCACAACCCTATACTGATAATTTTTACATTGCTAAGATACTTACGTGCTTAACATGTATTTATTTATCAAAGAATCAGATTTAAAGAAAAAGTTAATTTCAGTGAGACATTTTGTGGATATTATAGTAATTCAATAGTTGGGTTCGAATCCCGCAGGGCAGGATCATGGATGCGCACTACTGAGGAGTCGCACAATAGGACGAAACAGACATCCAATGTTTCCAAATTTTCCATGTTGATCTAGCTTCAATTAATTCATAATCTCAACTATTTGAAATAATTAATTGTTTATATCAATAAAAGAATTTATCATTTAATCTAGTCAGTTCCATATTTAATTTCAATCTTCATGTAAAATTATATCTTAATTCATGAAATATTAATTAATCACTTTCCTATATTGACTAAAATAATTTTATGCTTTGAACTTATTATGATGATACATTTACTTAATAATTTCTAACACTTAACAGATTCATTTTACATAATTATTCTATTTTACAAGTATTACAATATTATTTTGAGTTGTATTTTAGTTGCCACAGTTACGGGACATTGGTAATACAATATGATATAGATGTATATAATGACGTAAACAATTTACACAGTCAATCTTATTTTAATGAAATAAATACCTTTGACTTATAAATTCTTAAAGTGTAATATAATATAACATTATGGTAGAACATTATTAGTTATGCTTTATAAGTTAAATATCATAAATATTAACAAGTAGTATATATATATATATGCTTATTAAAATGTATCATCAATATGCATTTGGAAAATTGATGAAGTCACATTACTTATCAACATTATGTTGTGAATGGTTACATATTCTGGTAAATATTAGCCTTCCTTTATGGGTATATATATATATGTCTTGGTGATTGAAGAGCTTTTTCAAGGTTTCCATAGATTTTGAATCATATATAATAAAATGTATAAACTGTTTTATCATGGACTTTTATCAACAGTTTTAACGATTTGAAAGTGTTTAATGTTTATGGTATCATAAGTAATTACTGTTCTGTGATTTTCATCATTGCTTTATCGATATCACTTAATGATGATAAAATGAAATTAGGATCAAACAACCGACACAAACCACCCACATGAACAAAGTTGAAAATAAATTATGAGAAGTTTCAACAATAAGTTTTGAATAATTAATTTAAATTATTATTGCATGTATCATGAGTATTACAGGAGAATTCGAAACTAGAACAAGATAGCTATCTAGTGCCTTCTGATAGTTTTCAGTGTTTATTTAGTTAATATTAATTCTTAACAAACATCAACTTGAATTCAAACTTATTTCTCACATGTCATCCAATTAAATATAACTGTTTTGTTAAATGGTTACTATGTTTAAAATTTATTATTTGGCAGGTTAACATTCTTCTTGAGAATTGTGTACTAAATAACAATTTGACAATCCTAGTTACCATAAACGTATTAAGAATGTAAATACACTCGTGAGCGACCACTAAGCCAGCATCCAACGGTGTTAATGTCTAACTTTAACTAGCCCACGAAATTGGGTTACACATACACCATTGTCTTCAGTGAGTTACTATCTAACAACAGACCCAGTTGAATTCCACTGATTGTGACTTAATACTTTACTCTAAATCATTCTGACCTTTATTAAATAACCTTACTGATTTACAAATAACACAATTTTGAAGTATTTATGTCGTAATAGTTACGTTCACCATTTTCGACATTTAATGTTATCCAATTCATTAATGTATGCCTTATTTTGGTCTTCGTATAATATCACAATAATTATGGACTTATAACTGTAGAGCCTGATGATGAAGTTATTGAAAACAAGTAAGGCACTATCGAAGCAATACATATATTATGCACATATGCATATAAGAGACTGATCAGTTGCAGTCTTAAACATCAATAGGAGGATTCGAGTAAACCATACCAAGTGAATTTAAACTTCACCCCATTGCATAAGCAAGTGGCTATCACGACTCAGTAGTCAAGTGGATAACGCGATGGCGTTTGAAACGAACGGTACTGAGTTCGAGCCCCAGAATGAACATCAACTCTGAGATTTAGGTACATCCGGCTGATGAATCCTAAATAGAACGAAACGCGCATCTTGGATTTCATTGCTAGCCACTATCTATCTTTGCTTAGAATGATTGTAAACAATTGTTCACTCAAATATTCTTCATCATTGAAATATATGACTTCAAATCAATGAAAATCTCTGCTTTAATTCAGAGTTATAAAATTATTTTCAATTTTCTAGTCATAGTGACAACAATATTCAGGTTACTAACTTTAAATTTTTTTTTTTAATTATTTACTGAAGCAACGATTTCTTTCTTTAAACCTGAAAATGTTTTATTAAAACTCAAAGATACTTCTTCTTTGACAAACATATTAAATACACAGTGTTTTTAGCTTCTAATTAATCATGTTTAAGAAGGTACATTGTTATAATTTTATAGACTATCAAATTTTTAAAGTCAGATTCCGGATAACAAAGTTCATCTGTCTGTGAAACATATTACATTAGACTTTTTGTATAAATTGTGCTTTGACAATATTCTAGATTAGATTATATGAAGATGATAAAATAAAAAGCTCAATAGTCTAATATGTCTGTTTTTATACATGACTAATTCAAGTATTATGATTTATTTATTGACTATAAAGCAGATATGTATATACAATTTTGCAATTTCAAGCATGAACTCAACTTTGGAATTAACTTTCGTTTTTGATCTAAGATACTGAATTTGAACTGTCTATATTTTGTGAAGATCTATAATAAATATTGATTTGTATGTAAGATAGTTGAAACTAGTCGATAGGAAACACTGAACATAGGTTTCATACTATTTCAAACTTGCCAATCAGACTTACCTGTAATGTTGTGATAACTAGTACTCGCTAGAGGACTCGATCTCATGTCACCCAGGTTCACAGTCTGAGATGTTACCTCTGAGCTATTTGAGCAGCAACTGGCATCTTTTGTCTAACTGGGACGTTGAAAATTGACTGATCAATAAGTGGTGGTCAGTGTTAATGGTTCATGGTTTTTTGATAACTAATTATAATCACCTAACATCTCAACATAGTGCACACAATGTCAAGTCAATCACATTAGTGACTGCTTTGCAAAATAATCAGTAGAATTTGATTTCTATCAGATGACCAGATAAACGTAACATTGGTCATTATTCAGTGATCAATCAATATTATGGAAATTTAAAAACGAACGAGATTTACTATATGAGTCTAGTTATTTAAATTATTAGCACCAAATAAAACCTAACTGCGTATTCAAAATATGATGAAAACTGGTTCTTTTCAAATGAAAAATCTTTCAAAATTATCAAGGTACGAGTGAGTCTTGAAAACGCAAACCATTAGTATTATCCTGCAAAAGTTTAAATCTTCTAGTTGTTAACGTTGGCAACTGCAATTGATTAGTCTCTTTCTGCACATGTCAATTCCGAGTCAAGTGTCTCGACATTGCCATCAGTCACAAGCATTTTTAAGTAGAGATGAATTGTGATTAACATTGGAATTCCGAATGTGACCTGGATTATCAATAAATATTTTTAGGCAAAAATATTCATAGAGTTATAACCGGTACATTATTTTGCTGTATATTAGCTGACAGACGTTTTTAAGTCAATTTAAATGGTAAGCACCATACATATATTTGAATCTCTTGTCAAAATACATTGAGGACAATTCCTTCCTATTCATTGAGTTCAGTAAAGTGAATTATCTGAATGTTCCACCCTAGTAAATATCATTTTACATTAAAGCGTAATCATCCTTCCAAACTTGGTTATCTATTCAAATATGAGACGTTTATGACGTGACACGAATACACATTTTCTCTATGGATACCATAGCAATTGTATTGTAAAAAATTCAGTTCCTAAATTATCATCTATATTTTCGAGATATATATTACTTAAAATCAATAAAACATGAGCACTAGAATTTCTTAAAGTATAAAATGAGAAATTCTATGTTTCTTATAGGACTCATGTCTACCGCTATGATTTCCTTAAGCTAATTACACTATATTTTATCATAACATTTAAAAACAGTTGGTATTCTCACATACTGTGTAACTTGCAGAGAATATCTGGCAACCGTCTAATCAAATATCAATGATATGCTTTATTATACATTTTGATAAAGTACAATTGTTGAATCTATAAAAACCAGATGTGAAACTATGCTGTTTTTCGACAATAATCTAATACATCATATCAGAAGAGGGTTTTGTGAAGATTCTAGTAATTTAATAGTTGAATTCATGAGTCAATTAAAGCTAGACCATTATAGAAAACCTGAAAGCACTAGACGGCCATTTCGTCCTAATGTGGGATCCGTCAGCAGTGCGCCTCGACAATCCCGCACGCAGGATTCGAACACAGGATTGTGGATGCGCACCGCTGAGAAGTCCCATACTAGAATGAAACGGCCGTCCACTGCTTCCACGTTTTCCATGATGATCTAGCTCACATCGAATCATGAATTCAACTATAATAATGCATCATAAAACATGTGACGTCTTCAGTCTCACTAATCATATTTGAAATGCCCAAAACGTTAATCGAAATGACATTTTATTCCCTTTTAAATACATAAGTGATGAATAATTGACGAAATAGCTTTTAAAATAAAGGTTATGAACACTATCAGATAAACAGAAGTACCAAACAATAAATCAATGAAATGATTAACTATCAAGTAGGATGAATAGCTAAACACCAAACAATTCAGCAAACATTTATTAGCCAATTAGATCAAGGTAACTTGAAAATTGTTTTACATTCAAACAAATTCTTCACTTGTGTTTTCAGCTAACAAGATTCATCATTAAAAAGGAATCACTGTTCATATCATTTAAGTTTGATCAACTGAATAGACAAGCTATCTATTTCATTATTATTTGACTGGTGTAGTTTATTTTTGAAAAGTTTAGTTATAAGATGTTCATACCAACACTTCATAGTATAGAAAAAAAATTATGAAATATACTACTTCGTTAATATTACCTAATAGTATGATATAAAATAAAGCGACAGATTTTTTTTATGAAGAGGTATGTAAGCAGGCAATATACTGTAGAGTATTTACCCACTACAAGTTTTATATATTTAGTTTCGAGACACATTGTTTGTGTAAGAGCCGATTATACTACCCGGTTAGTCTAACCAAAGTAGAATGACTGGTTTTAAAGACAGAAGAATAAAATAAACTCGAAAAAGTTCCTAGAAGTTTCAAAATACGAAGTCGTCAAGACTTTCTGATTGCTGTGTAATCATTAAAGAAAGGAGAAAATAAACGTACACGAATAATAGATGTTGTATAAAAGGGTGAAGAAATGAAATTTGAAACCTTACAGCAGTAAATTGGAGGATAGGTTTTATCAAATTTCACCCATGTTTTTGACTTGACTGACTACAGTTTCTTACTTAAAATCCAAACATACATTTCAAAACATGTCAGTGACAAACATAAGAAGTAGTTCAATTAAAGTCCTTTACATAAAAAATCTTAACAAGAATACAACAGATCGTGATTGCTCATTATTCTTCAAACGTTCTCTCAAAAATATTAGACTGCAATAAAAGTTATTTTCTAAATGCATAAACGTCTACAAATCTTTAAGACTACAAACGTAATGTATATTTTTAGGGTGCCTGTAGGCAGTGCCTGCATGAATTCAGTTACTGTATACTACTAAACACATGAACTTTAATTGTTCGTATGAATACCGACATGATTTGATCTATCATTACTGACTTATTATTTACCATGACCAACCGTATAGAACTTCATAAAAATCATATCCACCTTTTAGTCTGAAATTATACAGTGAAAATGTTTATTACTTGCAATTAAATCATACCTTAGAAACTATAAAGAATATATACTACTATAGTTGTAAAACATTTCTCACCTCTATCATAGTTATAATTATTATTCAGTATGTAAAGTTGAGAAATGTTAACTAAATACTATCAAATGTATAAAATGTCATTCAACTCAGCTAGTATCCAATAATAAACTTATTTATGGCATAAATTCACATAGTGTTGTTTGCTTGTATCTTCCCATTATTTAAGGCATAGGTTTTAAATTGAAAGTATATGCTGACATTCGGATTTTTTTAATGGTAAATGAAAACTGATTGATTTTCAATGTAGCGATTGGATTCATGAGCCAATTGAAGCTAGACCACCATAGGAAACCTGAAAGTACTGGACGGCAGTTTCGTCCTAGTATGAGACTCCACAGAAGCGCGCATCCACGATATAGGGTTCGAGCGTTCACACGCAAGACCGAAGGCCCTGGGTTCGAACCCCGCGTGCAGGATCGTGGATACTCGCTGCTGAAGAGTCTCATACTAGGACGAAACAGCTATCCAATGCTTCCAGATTTTCCATGGTGTTATAGCTTACATCGACTCATGGATTTCAACTATTAAAAAAATAAGTTTTATCTAATACTTTAAAATATATCACATAGAAACAAAACGACTAGAATTATGTGTACTCATAGTAAATATTAATACAATATAATTTTTTTTCAAAAAGTTCCGTTTTACTGAAACGTTTCAAATGGCCATCAATGTAAAACTATTTTATACAAGCTCAAATATGTGCTAGTTACAATAAGTCTGTTAACTTAATCTCTAGTTTCTGGATGAATAAATTTATAGAGATCCTGTATACACATGAAACATTATAAACATAATCAACTGACTCATGAGTTCAATCTGTGAAAATAATCAGATTTACAATTTTATCATGAATTGATATAATAGTTGTGTGAACTTATCTGACCTTTGCATATATCATTGTGATCCTATATGATATATTTTAAGTATCCATATCCAATTAGTTTCGACTCCCAATTTGCGTACATTGCCTATATTCATTTGTCAATGCTATTCTTGTCTATACAAACTGTATAAACTAAGACACAAAAGAAATAAATGGTTTAGCTTAAGCTATACACCTGAATGGTTGCATACAGCTACAAAGATGTATGAAATATGATCTTCCAGATACATTTCACATTCGTTTTTCAAAAATCACCACAGCACAATTGGCTTAGCTAAAGTTATTACATATAAGAAATTAAATATGGAATATATTCCATGTTTATTGATTGAAATCAGAAGACATGCTACAAATAATTTATCCGAAGAAAACTAATTACTTTCGAGGTGTGTTATCCAAAGTTATGTGAATGAACTAATGTTTAAACATTATTTTGTAAATATCCTGGCACAATGATTATTATCCGTTAAAGGAATCTTATATATTTATTTATTTCATGACATATGTAAATTCGGTCCATCGTTCAATAATTTTCTTGAAACTCCTAATCTTTTTCATTACTTTGTTCATAATTCTTGATAAGTGCATTTGAATAAAAAAAGAATTCGAATGTATATAAAACCAAACTGTTTAGTTTACAATGTATTATCCCCATTTATTATTTTGACAAAAGTGTTAAATTGATTATCAGTATGGGGTTGCGAAGATTATTACGTTTTTGATTGAGATCATGAACCGATTGATGTTAGACCACCGTTGGAAACCTGGAAGCACTGGACGGCCGTTTTATCCCATTGTGGGACTCTGCAACAGTGCTTACTCACGGTTAATGTTAGACACTAACACCATTGGATGCTGGCTCAGTAGTTTAGTAAGTTAAGCGTCCGCGCGCAAAACTGAAGGCCCTGGGTTCGAATCCCGCGAGCGGGATTGTGGATGCGCACTGCTGAGGAGTTCCACATTAAGACGAAACGGCCACCCAGTTCTTCCAGGTTTCCAACGGTGGTCTAACACCAATTGGTTCATGATCTCAATTAAACTGATTAGTTGGTGAGTAGTAACCAACATCACACTTATTTACTCTTAACGGCAATTTAATAATATCTACCATATTGTTATAAAACCATTAATTTAGTTAACTTGACAGAATCCTACAAGAAGTTAGTCAAAATTTGAACAGTTGATTAATATCATTTCCGATTATCACATTAACTGATGCGAATCAAAACCTTTTGGAATTTATCATATCCCCTTAATATTTCAGATCCACTTTGATAATGAACATTGATTAATAAAATTCTTTAGTTCATATAACTCTCTATTGTTTTACTTTTTAAATCACCTTAATACTAAATAATGAATAAACTTATCAAAGTATCATCTATAAAGAACATAAATATATAACTTACTTTAACAGTAGTTAATAAAATTAAAAATTGCCAAACAGGTTTTAATCGTATTACACCAAACATAATACGATATGTATCCACAAGTGATAAACATAATTCTTTTTTATTTTTATGATTAGATATATTTTTATTATTATAATTATGTTGATTCATTTCAATGGTATCATTATTATGATGACAATCGATTAAATATTCATTTATATTATTTGATTTTGTTTTCATACAATCAATAGGATAATTTGTTACATTATTTGAAATTGAATTTGTTTTACAAATTAATTCAAGATTCATTGTATCATTGATTAAATGATTTTCTTGTAAATATTGATTTTTTATTGGATATAAATTTATTGATTTTAATGATAATTTTGAATGATCAATATTATTATCAATTTCTTCATGATTATATTCACAATATAATGAATTAGAATTTTTAGATTCTTGAATAATATCAACATTAGGAATTAAATTACTATTATTATTACTATTATTATTGTTGTTACCATGTTTACAATGGTGATTTAAACAATGAGATTCATTGAATGTTTTTCGTTTGAATATTTTATTAAATAAATTATTTAAACAATTTCTAAATTCAGTATCTAATTTTGATTCATTTTCATGTTTAAGTAATACTAAGAATGTATTAGTTACCATGAATGTAATTCCCCAAAAATAAAGAAAACCTTTATGGAAAGAAAAAAAAGAAAAGAAAAATCAATAATTCTGTAAATAAGAAAACTGAATTGTATAGATTATAGTATAATTTAATGATTTTCATTATTTTCCTAATATAAAATCAATGTATGAAACAGTAAAATAAAAAGTAATGAATTTTGGCACCAATTTGATTAACTTGATGAATGGATATATATGTTTATTAATAAAGAAAGTAATTTGCTACGTATTTCAGGCGGGACTCAATTTATGGACGAGCCAATCAGAGGCGCTTGAGAGATTTCAAGGTCATGGCGCCAACTTCAGTGCTTAGTGCTAACGTACGATCGATTCACAGGGAATTTTGTACAAAACGTGATAATTGAGCGGTTATAACAGATAAAACGGCGAGACTATATTTTGTGAACGAATCAATCAGGTAAAAGATAATAGATTTCGGATTTTTACGCGAAAGCCTTTAATCCATATGGCTAAATAAATTCCCGGCATTATAGCTGATGTCAGTTCGTAATAAAAACACTCAACAACCGGAGTGCACATAAACAATATTGAAGCTATGTGGTCGAGGGTGAAAGAGTATTTGAGACTTTATCATAACTCCAAAGGCCGATTATTCTGTAGCCGTTTGAATGGTTTCCTCTACTTCATGCATTAGGATTTTAGAACCTCTGAACCTCTTTCTAACCTTGACAAGTTTCTGAACCACGTATAAAAAGTGTATCCACTTCATTTCCTTGGTTTTGTATAACATATTTTTGCTCCATACTGACTGTTTGCTGATTGGCTAATATTTCTCCAGGTCACTTAAGATTCGTTCAAGTGTCGTTCATAAATTAGAGTCTCGCCGTATTTTAATGTTAATCAATATCTTTGAAATTATTTAATGAAACGTATTTACAAACGGTAAATAGAAATAATAACATTCTTACTTATTCCTACTTATTAACTTTACCAACGAAACATTTTCCAAATATTGTATGTCATTACATTGTGGTGTGGTGTGAGCTACTTATATCGATTTACGTAGTATATGAACGCTAGTCAGGTAGCAGAAGGTTGAGAGAATTGAGAAGGAAAGGACAAGAACAGAAAGTGATTGATATGGAAATGTAGGAACAATGAAGTCTGAGATAATTAATGAACATTTTGCAAATGAAGTATTTATTGTATGGTTTACAGATTTTACCAAAATATACATTTGATTGTCCCCATTTGTGTTCTCTTTCACTACAATAGGATAAAGTTCAATTCTAGCATATATTTCATAATTGACAAACTTCTTCATCAACTAGTATCTTCTGGTTTATAAGTAGTGAAATATTTCAAATATTACGGAATAAATTTGTGGCAAGAAATGTATAATATAAAACTTAATTACTGTTAATTCTTTTGTGAGTGTTATATATAGTTCCCTTGTGTTTAAATGAACTTATCATACATTCACTCAGAAGAAAGAGTATATATATATATACATATATATATATACTAATTTACTGGTTGAATTCATGAGTCATTTGAACCTAGTACACCATGGGAAACCTGGAAGCATTGGATGGCCGTTTCGTCCCAGTATGGGACTCCTCGGCAGTGCGTGTTCACGATCCCGCCTCGCGAGATTCGAACTCAATACTTATTGGTCTCGTGTGTGAGCCCTTAACTTCTAGACCGCTTAGCCGGCATCCAACAGTATTAATGACTGAATTTAACTAATCCAACTATTAAATTACTATAATATCCACAAAACCCCTCTCTAATTATTTATATATATATATATATATATATATATATATATATATATATATATATATATATATATATATATATAATAGTTTTAAAAACTAACCATGTTTTATATTTGATTTTCATCATTTACATTTTATAATTCATTTATTCACGAATAAAACTCGAATTAGAGATTTTGAATTATGTAAAGTTCATTTGGGATTGAACATGAAAATAAAACTTTTAGCTTAATTCTTAATTATGTTGTTTATACAAAAATCGTAATTGATTAATTAATTAATTTTTTTTTTAGTGTAAAACTTTTTTTTTCGGTAATATCTATGACCTTACTTGAGGAACATACATATAGCAATAAAAATAATTTAATTAGTAATAAATTCATTATCAGATAAACTTTAGTTAACTTAACAAAACGATTAAACAGGTTATACATGTATACTTAGATACCGCGTGACTTTCTGAGTACTTTTACTAAAGTGTAGATCAAGGTCATCTAACTAATAATTATCATGTTTATAGTTATTTTACAATATTGTCTTTTACTAGTAACTGATGAATATGAATATATAGTGAATAACTAGAATGAAAGATTTATAATAATGAATAATTTTGAAAACTGAAGAAATTTTATGACTACTAATGTATTGCTATCGGTAATAACTGTCTTACAACCAACAGAGTTTAATCTTATAACTTCAAGTTTCTCGATAAAACTTCAAGGATTTTTTAGTCAGTCTATTATTAGCGAACAACCAATAGTTATTTGGATGAGACACTTGCGGGAGTCGAGAGAGCTGTTAACGATGCCTATAAATGACTGGTACCCAATATCGTTAATTAAATGATTTTTAATGTAAACAACTGGTTTTCAAGCCACTTATCTAAAGGTAAAGCTCTGTAATCGAATTTTGAAGGCCTTAGGCTCAGTCAGTGGCGTGTTTTGGATGTTATGAATTTTCTGACGTTTCATGACTCAGCGTAAGCCACTTCCTCAGAGAATAAATAACCATAACAACAAATAACCAGAAAATCTAATTTCTCACTCAATGAAATATTACAAATATATTATTTTATTTATACAATCCACCCAATGTTCCGTTTATTCGAAATTATTAAGTCAAACCTTGGTAATGATACCTGCAAGCTCCGTATGTTATCATTCCACTATAATTTATGAAGTTCCCACTGATGTACTTATTAATGTATTGAATGTTGTTTCACAAGTACAAAACACTTTATTTAATAAAGCCTAATCCCTCCATCCATATCGAAATGTAGCTTAAACCTAGTAAACAAATCAATAATAATTTGTTGAATTATGAAATTTTTCTAAATATATGTTCATATCAATAGTTGGGATCATGAGTCGATTGAAGCTAAACCACTTTGGAAAACCTGGAAACATTGAATGGCCATTTCGTTTTATTACGGCGCCCCTCCATAGTGCGCATCCACGATCCCGCTCCGAGAGATTCGAACCCAGGATCTATCAGTCTCGTGCGCGAGCGCTTAACCTCTAGACCACTGAACTGGCATTCAACGCTCTTAATATCTAACTTTAACCAATCCACAAAATTGAGTGACACATCCACCATTTTCACAGATTGAAATCATGAGTCAGTTGAAGCTAGACCACCATTGAAAACCTGGAAGCACTGGACGGCTGTTTCGTCCTAGTATGGGACTCCTCAGCAGTGCGCATCCACGATCCCGCACCACGCGGGGCTCGAACATAGGACCTACTGGCTTCGTGCGCGAGCACTTAACCAGTAGACCGCTGAGCCGGCTTCCAACGGTGCTAATGTCTAACTTCAACCAATCCACGAAGTTGCGCCACCATTGTTATCAGTGGTGGTCTAGTTTCAATTGATTCATGATCTCAACTATTGAAATTACTATAATATCCACAAAAACCCCTTCTGATATGTTTATATTTTTACTTATTTATTTATTTATGTTCTGATAATTTCCACGATTAAATTTTTACTTTTGTCATATTACGAATAGTATGAAATTTTTCTATAGTTCTCAATCTGACAAATACTATAACTTTTTTCAAGCATTCAGTTTGTCAAAATATGTTAATATGTAATGATGATGTAACAGATTTGACTATTTGAGCACATAAGTCTTTGATCATTTTAGTTTGGTAATTATAAGTATCAACTTCATTCAGTATTTTTCTAATCAATAATTTTAGTTTTGTTCTTCAAATAACCATGAAATCTAACTTTCATATACTTTTATGCATATTTAAGTATTGTAGAAGTGCAATTTTTCCGAGTACGTTTTGTAACCTAAATTCTGTGATGTTGCTTTATTTTACCTAACCAGTAATCATTACTTAAGCAGACAGATTTCTCAAATTCTTCAAAAACGTATGATATACGTTAGTATCTTATAACTAATGAATAACTCCAAATCCACACTAGTAACTTATGAAACATTTCCAAGTTAAAAACCTATCGTGGATCCTATACATTTTACATAGATAAGATCATAAAACTTGTAATTTATGTATTGGTTATTATTAATTAGTTAGATGTGATTACTCCTACTATACGAAAAGCAAAACAAACTGATAACAAGCCTCAAATAGTATGAGAATAGCTGTTTAACATTATACAATTTTCCATAGCTTGTCAATCTTTCAAATTTCTATTCAAATATACCACAACTTCCACATTTTTTAAGAGTAATTCATTGCATAATTGTTGTGATTTATTATTTAAGATTTATGAAATGGTATTAGCTAAAAGTATATGTAGCTCTCAACCTTTCCGACAAAAACGAAGGGTTATATATATATATATATATATATATATATATATATATATATATATATATATATATTCTGGACAAATAAACTTCTCATCTATGTTTTGCGATGAACTGTAAACAGATTCAAATAAATTACAAATAAAAAACTATTGGGCTATTGTTGAAGATGTAAATCACCGAATACTTCCAACTCTTGACATTGAATGGAATTGTGAATGCACATTGTTGGTAAGTTTCATATTAGAGGAAAACAACAATTCAATCCTCTCTGATTTCCAGCAATTGAATTCACTTTATAACAACAACAAAGAAATATCTCAAAATTAAGTTAATTACTAGGACCGATCAAAAATTAAATTTATATTCATATTTACTACTTTATTATTGTATTAAAACTAGAGATTAGATGATTGACTGATCAATATGTTCTCATACACGTCTGCCGAATTCATGATATACTATTCTTTTTTGTTTATTAAAACTAAAAACAACCTAATTACTAAATTACTATTAAAGTTCTATCCCTCAATATCTGAAATATTCAAGACTGATTTGTTATACTTTGTGATGTATATATATTTAAGTTAATAAATAAGAGGAATATAGACAATGAAAAATTATTTATAATCTATGCATAAATGATTAGACCATAGAATCAATCAATCAATTAATTATAATCACTGAAAAATTCCCACTTTTTTGTTGTATACAGGTCAACAGTATCCTGTGTATTCTTTTATCTGCATATTCAGTAAATTACTGTTATAATATTTTGTTTCTACTCAATTAGGCTTGAAATAATATTTCATGTTTTATCCTCATCTATTAGTTTCTACTACTACAGTAGTGAACAAGAACATGGATGGAGACAATCGAATGTATTTAGCACGAAAATTACAGACTATTTCAATAAAATCTGAATACCATATAGTAAATCGTCAATTTGCAAAATATTAATGCATCATATCAAACTGGACTATTTTTGTTGCAAACACCAATCCATTGTCTCCCATTCCATTGCTCATGCGTTTCTAACAAATTCCATTGTGTTCTCGCTCTTCTTTTCTTGATCTTCCCCTCATCTTCTGCTGCCAGACATTACGTTCCTGACTCGCATAATATACTACTTATATTGACATAAGTAGTATATGATGTTTGTCGTGAACAGAAGGTCTGGCAGCAGAGATGCAAGAGAATTGAACAGTAAAGAATCGAAACAGGATGCAATTTGTATGAAAATGCAAGAACAATAAAGTCTGAGTCATTTTGAGACAATTGATGGTCATTTTGCAAATTAAGCATTTACTTTATGATTGTTAGATTTTATTAACAACTCCTGTAATTTTGTGTCAAATACATTCAATTGCCCCCACTCGTGGTCTGTTCACTGCAACAGAACCAACTAGTGGGCGAAAATATAGATATGAGACTTTATTTGGAATTTGATCGGGCAGGTATAAAATATACCAATAATATTTTGAACATGTAAATAAAACAAAACCAAGGATGCTGACTAACTGTAAACAAACAATAATAATGATTGTATATATGATGAATGTCGACAACACTTCACTTACCAGAAAATGTAATCAACCCTTTACCTTCAATAGGTGTCCATCTAAGATAGCTATTTGAAATATTAGGTGATTCTAAGCATAAAAATAGAATAAATGCAGTCACATATCCAATTGTTTGTCCAACAACATTACATGTAGATGCCCAACCTAGATTTTTCCTGCAAAGATAATTTCAAAAAGAAAAAGAAGAAATTACATGGAATTACTGACAGAAATGTTAAATATCCAACATAAATAAAAAGAAAAAAATTCTTTTAATTAAAATAACGTTGGTATCAGAAGGGGTTTTTGTGGATATTATAGCAGTTTCAATAATCGAAATCATGAGTCGATTGAAGCTAGACCACCATGGAAAATCTGGAAGCACTGGTTCGAACCTCGTGAGGTGGGATCATGGATCCTCACTGTTGAGGAGTCCTACAGTAGGACGAAACGGGCGTCTATGTTTTCCATGGTGGTTTCATCATATTAAACGATGAATATTTGAAATAAGAATATTCTCTTTAGGTTATGAGCCAAGTACATCGTTTAAAGTTAGTGAATGTATGGTTTAATCAAACAAATATTTTCGATAATTTCCTATCAAACTTTACAATTACAAATTGAAAATATTTATTGAAAGTATTTGAATTATTATGGTTAATGAGATCGGAATATACTTGTATGACAGAATGATAGTAATGATAATAATTATAGCATTCCTAGTCATGAATGTGCTTATATAACCATTAGATATTTGTCTGTATGTAAAGAGTGAACAAAGAACTTCGTCTGGATAGTAAACTGAATGAATCTTAATAAACACTGTAAATAACCTGAAGAAATATGAACTTAAGGTTGAGATTGATAATAATAATAATAATCAATTCACTTGGTATTTAAATAAAGCCAAGACAAATATTGATGCAGAATAATATAAATTCATTACGTGTCGTGGTTTCTCGTTAGCTGCTTACAACTAAATATGTCAGGAGGGGTTTTGTGGAGATTTTAGAAATTCCACTGATTGAAATCATGAGTCATTTGAAGCTAGACCACCATGGAAAATCTGGAAGCACTGAACGGCCATTTCGTCCCAGTATGGGACTCCTCAGCACTGCGCATCCACGATCCCGTGCCCCGTGGGATTCGAGCCCAGGACCTGTCAGTTTCGCGCCAGGTGCTTAACTAACTAGACCACTAAGACGGCATCCAACGGTGTTGATGTCTAACTTCAACCAATCCACGAAGTTGCGCCACCGTACACCATTGTCTTCAGTGAGTTGATATCTCACAACAGACCTGGTTGAACTCCACGGGTAACTAAATATATATTAAAATTTTACATAGAGATAAGAAATAGTATGGAACAATTGACATAAGTGAATGTAAAGGACTGGAATGACAACGGTTATCAATGATAACTATATATATGTACAAGAACAGGTCAGAGGTTATTAGGTGTTAGAATCAATACAATCCTTTACATTCACTTATATCAATTGTTCCATACTATTTCTTATCTCTATGTAAAATTTTAATACATATTTGGTTGTAGGCAGCTGACGAGAAACCACGAAATGTAATGAATTCATATTATTCTGCATCAATATTTGTTCTGGCTTTATTTAAATTCATAAAGGGAACTAATCACTTGGTATTGTTTACTCGAATCTTCCGAATGATGTTAGGAGTGCAATTGATCAGTCTCTTATTGGTATATGTGCATACTGTGTGCATTGCCTCGATATTGCCTTAATTCATAATTGCAGTCCTAACGTCAATGGGAAGATTCAAGTAAATCAGTGCCACCACTCAAGCAGTTGGCTTTCAGGGCTCAGTAGCTAAGTAGATAGCGCGATGGCGTTTAGAGCGAACGGTACTGAGTTTGAGCCTCAGAGGGAATATCAACTCTGAGATGTAGGTGCATCCAGCTGGCGAGTCCCAAATAGAACAGAACGCGCATCCTGGATTCCACTGCTAGCCACTATCCATCTTTGCTTATAATAATAATAATATACAAAAAAACAGAGGTGTACATAAAAATAATATTTACACTTGTCCAATGTTATTGGTATAAATAATAATTATTAATATAATACAATGATGTCTAACGATCATTTGAGGTAAGTAACCAAAAATTGGTTTCTGAATTTATACGTTTAATTTGAAAATTTTAGTAAATATTAACTCAGCTATTCTTGGTGAATGGGGAAGAAAACAAATGGACAATTTCACTAGTACTCAGTATATGATGTAAAATATTGAGAATCTATCAATTTTACTTTCTGTATTCACTAAATAAGAAAATATCATACCTTTATAATACGTTTTTTTTCTTGAATATTTTTACCTAATCTCTGTAAACTGCTCTAAGAAATATCTTGGTATATTTGATGGATTAAATAAGTGATTTCATTTTATAGATTGAACTTATTGACACATTTTGTATAACATGCAGACAAACTACAAAGATGACAGAGCTAACAGAATTAATTGTTTTAATAAAAAAAACTTAGAAAACATAGATCACAATATCATTTTGGTGTATATGTGCAAAACTGATTATTGTCTATGGACTGTCGGTATTTAACAAAATGATGCTTTTATTAGCTTAATTTTGCTTTCAATATGTGCATATTTAACCTTTAACCGTGAGACTAATCTAATCAGAACATTTTAAAATATTTTATTTCAATTTAAGATTAACCACACTGTATTATTACTATTGCCATCAAATGCCCTGGTACGGCCGAGAGTAGGGAGAGTCCGTACTTCCTCTCGAAATACTATTACATGACCACGTATATACAGTCACTGTCAGGAAAGTCCTACTCGTTGCCTTCTCGTGGCGAAGGTGTTGTTTGCGAAATTGAGAGGACGAAAAGCGGATGTCCGGCGCTTTAATCGAGTAGGTGAACACGGAAAGTTCACCTAGCGCGGGTTGGAAAACACTGATTTCAAACCAATGTCACAAATGAGCTTCAAGATCCTGAAGGAACAAATGGTGTATGAACCATTTATTGGTCACCGGCTACCATGGGACTGCATCTTTTTACGTTGCTCCATTGTCTTGTGGATTCGACCTTTAGATCAAAGGCTTCGGGTGTGATCCCATAAGAAAATCACCTGGTTTGATCTGGACACCCACACGCAAATCAAGTGATTTGTGTGGAGCATATGTATTCAATGCCCCTTTGTACCAATATTTATATGTTCAAATAAATATAATAACATTACTATTAGACAAAAATAAAAGTTGTATACTTGTCAACGTTTATTTTCTGATATTTGCATACTATCTCAGTTATGGGCGACATTGTAATAAAAACAAACTCAACAATAGTTTGTTTGTTTTTTTAAATATATAGTCCGTATATTGTAGACGCCAAATACGGTCGACACTATCTAAAATAAAAAAAACTTATTCTCCTATTCTTTTCTGTGTGTAAATTCTATGCTTCATTAAAAGTTAATAGGATATAAGTTGTCCTATATAAATATAATGAGATTATTACATAACAGCAATAAATACAATAATTATAACTGTGGAATAGTTCAATATTCAATTGCATAATGTTTTTTTAAGCTACCAGTTTATCAGTATTTATTGATCAATCTAATCATAATAAAGAAGGAATAACATTCTTTTGTATATAATGTCTATTACATCAATAGAGTAAAACATGAAATATATAAGAATAGAATAAATGAGACAAAATAGAAATAAGCAAACCAATATGTATGTAGATAATAGAATAAAGTAAATAGACAGTGGATAAAACTTAATTTCCTGTTTTAACTAATATTATGCTATTGAACCAATCAGGACTAAGATATTTGAGAAGTAAAGCAAGTTAGTGTTTATTTCACTTATGGCTTCATAAAAGATATACTCATTGAAAGTTAAGATTATTTGGATCAATAATCAAAAATTTTCTAATTCATCTTATAGTGAAAATCATATGATTTGAGCATAAAAACACTTTGAATTTCGACTTGTTGTAAAAAATTCTGTCTAAGAGATACTTCGCATAAAGTTCATTTCGTTCTTGTTCTTTTTTCGGAATTCAACTTTCAACTTGGTAATGTCATCACTGCGGCATAGAATAATAGGCACTTCTTTCACACATACCTCGCTTACAAAGTTGAGAAATTTAATTGACATAGCTTTCAGTAGCAAACATTTCAGGTAGTTTAAGAATAAGTATTTTAAAAGTTATGTTGCTTCATTTTTAATTCTTTATGATTCATCAAAAAACCTGAACATATATTGATCTCACTTTGAGTGTATGAGTTTTCATTCAAAAGATCATAAACCCTGAAAAAGTTATTAACACTGTTAAACTAACGTATGTAATTTAATTTCCATTGCTCTTTTGGTGACAGATTTTTTATTTCAATGGCCCGTGTACTCATAAACTAAACATGAGGCTGAAAATTTTAAGGTGTTTTTTTTTAGCGTTGCTTAAATTTGGTAGCAGAGAACAGTTTCACCAACTCCAATGGATACAGGTTGTTTACAGAATAGTATCAAAAATCATAAATAGTATATATATATATATATATATATATATATATATATATATATATATATATATATATATATAATGAGAAAGCAATCTATAAACTTTGGAGAACTTCTATGTAATTAGTATTTATCTAAGATCTTCTTTATAAGATTGTATTCAAGATAACTGTTATGTTGTTATTCCTGGAAAAAAAATATATAAACGAACTGTAACATTCAATGAAATAAACAGATCCTTAGCTAATACATAACGTTTCATATAATCATACTTGTATTAAATTTCTCTATAGTTTAAAAATGAGTTCATTATCAAAGGGATGAAAGTTGGAAATTACTTTACTAAGTGGATTATTAAAAGTTCATTTTATCTTATTTCAGACTCATCAATGACGTTCTATCAAAGATACTTCTGATACAGAATATACAATACTAAGTTTATGCAACTAGTCTATTTAATCAAAGTTATCTAATAAGAATGTAAGTGAACCAATAATTAACTACCTAATAGTAACTCATTCAAGAAAACTGGTATGGTTAACAACAGATTAGTTAATTTAAATGTGACTGACAGACTAAATTGACTTTTTTCCACTTATCCTTAACATGTAGTCACATCTTAAAGAGGAGTAATTATGTAGTTTATGAAGT